TTGATATAATTATTTAATATAATGGGGGACAAGACACAAAATAGTGGGGAATAATTCATTTGTTTAAGAAAGTGGGAAACAAATCATGCTTTGAGGGGAATATTTGGGGTTGGGGATTTAAGACTAGAGTCTTCTTATAAATAGAGTCATTTTTGACACATTCTTAAAAAGGACTTGAACATTAAAAGAGAACGNNTTGTAAGCCACTCGAGGCATGAATGCAAACAAATGAGAAAGATTTGAAGTTGTAATTTAATGTAGTCTTTTCTTTCTTTTACTGTCTGTATGTAGAATGTTCTATGCGTTGCCATGCAAACTCCTTAAACAACTCACTTTTGAAACTTAACCATAATAACTCAAAAGTATGTAAATAAAGTAGGACCTTATCTTCATTTATTTTAGAAAACAAAAAATAGAAAATGTAGTCATGCTAAGATTACCCTTTTAAAAATAATGAGACGAGCCTCGCCAAATAAAAATGCAAATTGCGGGGCCCTCAATAATTGATCATAATAAATACTTAGAATTTGGGATGGACTGTTTAGTGAATTTCACTGCCTTCCCCAAAGATAATAACGCGTTAGACTCTTTAGGCGCGACTTAATTAAATTACATTCTTAAATTCGGGTGCGCATTTATGTGACCCAAATTCAAATCTCAACGGAGTCGAAATGTGTTAACAACCACGGGTGCATTGATTGTGACGTGGTTCGAGATGCATTTTCACGACGTTGCAATTCTAAAAAAATAAATGATAATAATAAAAGCGGTTTAAACTTAATAAAAGCACATAAGTCACAACATGTATTTAAATCAGATATTTAGCCATTATAACAATTTAAGCGACCGTGCTAGAACCACGGGATTCGAGGGTGCCTAACACCTTCCCTCGGGTCAACAGAATTCCTTACTTAGAATTTCTGGTTCGCAGACTTCATTTGGAAAGTCAAAAATTTCCTCGATTTGGGATTCAAGATAAACCGGTGACTTGGGACACCAAAAGCCAAACCTTTCTCAAGTGGCGACTCTGAATTAAATAAATAATCCCATTTCGAATATTGTCACTTAAATTGGAAAAACTCCCTCGCGCATTTATCCTTCGGGGTAGGCGCACAAAAAGGAGGTGTGACATGTATCAGAGCCTAGGTTACATAGGTCTTACGAGTCATGAGCAGGTTAGTAAAGTCTCGCGGATCGGTACGGAGACGTCTATATTTATCCTCAAGAGGCTACAAAACCTTTAGGAAAAACTTCATATTCTTGAAATTCTTGTTGTACGAATTTGTTGATCCAAGTACTAAACTTCTGTCATTCTATTCTCTCACAGATGGTGAGGACACGAGCGACCGGTCAGGATGGACGACTACAAGTACCACCAGCTGTGGCCACTAGAGGCCGAGGACGCGGTCGAGGCCGTGGTAGAGGTAGAGGTGTAGCCCGCACCGCAGCTAGGGCAGCATTTGTAGATCCACCAGCCGCCCCAGTTCATGATCAGGTCCCAGTTGTGGACGCTCCAACAGCACTAGCTTAGGCAACAACTATGCCCATTGTGATTCCGGGTCTTTAGGAGGCCTTGGCTCAAATTCTATCACTATGCACTGGCCTAGCTCAGGCGTTCTCAGTTACTACAACTGCAACTAATTCTCAGACCGGGGAAGGCACTCAGACTCCCACCGCTCGCACACCTGAGCAGGTCGTTCATGGACTTCAAACACCGAGGGCATTTCTAGCCCAGCCGGTTGTAGCTGTTCAGGACTATTAGCTCCTGCTATGCTAGAGGATGAGCAGCGTAGGTTGGAGAGGTTTGGTAGACTTCAACCTCCGACTTTCAGTGGTGCAGAGGGAGAGGATGCCCAGGGTTTCTTGGATAAGTGTTAGAGGATTCTTCGTACAAAGGGTATTTTGGAGACCAGCGGGGTTGCTTTCACTACTTTTCAGTTTTCTGGAGCTGCCTTCACTTGGTGGGAGGAGTGTGAGAGGCGTAGGCCTGTTGGTGCAGCACCCCTTACCTGACAGTAGTTCTCCGTTCTCTTTTTGGAGAAGTATGTGCCACCGTTTCGCAGAAAGGAGCTGCGCAGACAGTTCGAGTGGTTGCATCAGGGGGATTTGACTGTGATACAGTATGAGATGAGGTTCTTAGAGTTAGCTCGTCATGCTGCTTGGTTGGTTTCGACAGAGAGAGAGAGAGAGAGAGAGAGAGAGAGAGAGAGAGAGAGAGAGAGAGAGAGAGAGAGAGAGAAGATTAAGAGGTTCGTTGATGGCCTCACTTATCAACTTGGTATTCTCATGACCAGGAAGAGGGTGTCTGGTGCTACTTTTGAGGAGGTTGTTGACATTATTCGTGAGATTGAGTCAGTTCGTCGCCAGGAGCGAGATGAGAGGGAGTCCAAGAGGCCTCGGGGATCTGGTAGTTATGGTGGTGCTCCTTCAAGGGGTCAGTTTCAACACGATAAAGGTCGTCCATTTAGACATGCTTAGCCAGCTCGCCCAGGTTATCGTGGGGCATCATCGGGTCATGGTTCTCACAATTCTCATCAGGTTCATTCATCACTCAGTTCGCTTCCAGCTCAGAGTTCGTCCCGTGCTCCATCAGTTCAAGGCTCTTCTATGCCAAGTGCATATGCTAGTCATTCCGGTACTAGGGGTTCCATTCAGTCCCCGTCTCCAGCAACCGGGAGTTGCTATGAGTGTGGAGATATGGGTCATATGTGGAGGCAGTGTCCTCGTCGTCTTGGGGGTTCATCTCATTAGAGGAGTCAGCCATCGGCTTCAGCACCAGTTACTTCACTATCACCCAGCCAGCTAGGGGTGGATGTTAGTCAGCTAGGGGCCGCCCTAGAGGGGGAGGTCGATCAGGAGGTGGTCAAGCCCGTCTCTATGCATTCCCAGCTAGACCCGATGCTATTACTTCAGATGTTGTGATCATAGGTATTGTCTCAGCCTGCCACAGAGATGCCTCTGTATTATTTGATCCTGGTTCCATTTTTTCTTATGTGTCATCTTATTTTGCTCGTTATTTAGATACGCCCCGTGAGTCTCTTATTTCATCTATTCATGTATCTACTCTAGTGGGCGATACTATTGTTGTGGACCATATGTACCGGTCGTGTGTGTTGACTATTGAGGGTCTGGAGACCCTAGTGGATCTTCTGTTGCTATGTATGGTAGACTTTGATGTTATATTGGGTATGAATTGGCTACCTCTATGTCATGCTATTTTGGACTGTCATGCTAAGACGGTGACATTGGCTATACCGGTGTGTCACAAATTGAGTGGCGAGGTTCGACTGATTATGTTCCTAGTAGGGTAATTTCATTCTTGAAGGCCCAACGTATGGTTGGGAAGGGTTGTCTTTCGTATTTAGCCTTTGTGAGGGATGTCAGTGCAAAGACTCCCAGTATTGATTCTGTTCCAGTTGTAAGGGATTTTCCCGGTGTGTTTCCTACAGACCTGCCGGGCATGCTACCGGATAGGGATATTGATTTTGGTATTGATATGGTGCCGGGCACTCAACCCATCTCTATTCCACCGTATCGTATGGCACCAGCGGAGTTGAATGAGTTAAAGGAGCAGCTTCAGGAACTCCTTCATAAGGGGTTC